TCTGAAAAATTATTTCAGTCCAATTCAAGAAAGCTTAGTATATATTAAGGTTATTTCCAGCTTGCAGCCTTTTTAAAAGCAGACAGTTGATTTTAGGCAGTTGGTTTCAATTGAAACTAAATACCTTTTTTCTGTGTATAGAGTAGTTACACAAAATAAAGCTCTCTTCTGAAGTTTAAAAAATGATCAGTTTTCTACAACATTATCAGGAATTTCTTTGCTAAGTTCAGCAAAAGCTTATTCATCATAAGCTTTTTCTACTATTTCAACCATTGTGCTAAAAATACACCCCACCATTCACAAGAGACATGGTAGTCAATTAATGCTGACCAGCACCCTGTGACAGGCATAGCTCAGCAGCCTCCCAATTACCACCGCAATTACATTAGACATTAAGTGCTAACATTCCAATTGCTTAAATTAATACAGGTTCAGAGATGCAAAGGTACTTAAAACTGACTGCTTCTCCTTAAGTATCTAGGATCTTTAGGCTATTTTATTCGTTCGTTCTTGATGTTTTTCCTACAATGATTATAGAATGGGTAAGCTTGTAAATGTTAAACTCTAACAAAACAGAAATGCTTTGGTTATACAAACACACAGGTCCTAGTCCTGTAGCTAATCTTCACAGCAAAAAAAAAAAAAAAATTGAGGCATTACTTACTTTCTGATTTTTTCTGGACCTATAATACTCCCAGCACAGTTAAACAGGACCAAAACATAGCAGCTTTGGCTGCAAGTATCAGCATTTGTTAAAGGTGTGTACACAAGCATGCATCCATGTGTTTAGAATAGGTAGATCTCATGTAGAGATCTGAGGCAGAAGCAGGATTTATTAATCTACACAAGTGTGATGACAAAAGGTTCTCCATTAACACCTTTTGGCAAACTGTACAAATTCTTGATTAGGAGATAAGATACTAGCAACGCTCCTCCCACCGCAGAAAAATCTCTTCCTCACTCACTGATTTTGCCTAAAAAGTGAAATACACAGTGAAAACCACCTGTTAAGAAAGTCCCAAGACAAATCGGTAAAAGGCAAATTTAAGTCCAACAAGCAAAAGTTAGGGAAAGGAGAGCAAAGCTGTCACCCATAATAAGTGTCATAGAATTGAGACAAAAGCATGGAACAACTATTCAGCAATGCAGTGATATACCATAAATTCATGGCCTGAAACATTCTATTAAAAGTATGAAATGGAATTAATATACAGAACAAAAGTTAGGTGCATTTCCTGGGAGTAGCCATAGAAATAGTAATTTGGCAGCTGTCACATTTCTTGCATTTAAAATGAAGTAACATTTTATAGTGAAAGCATGTTAAAAGCTAGCATTTACCTGAGATAATTAATTTTTTGAGGAGAAAATTTTAAAATTACTCAAATTATACTATCAGTTTCAACCCTGGCTTCAAAACAAAGGACTAAATTGAACGTTTGCCAAATTAGTTGTAAACTCAAGACCTTTAGTGAAAAAGTCACAGCAATTCAGCCTGAGCAGGGGGTTGGACAAGATGACCTTGGGAGGTTGCTTCCAACCTCAGCCATTCTGTGAGTCTGACACTACTTGAGTGTGTCAACATTGAACTCAATTCCTAGCCAGTATTTGGAATCTGGGGACTAGATTTTCCCATGCTCCTCAGTATTATATGTGGATGTTGTTAACACGAGTGAGTGTTAATACAGTGAGTGCTAAAGGAAGTAACTGTTTATCATTTATCATCACTGCTTTAGGACTGCAGAAGGGCTTGTAAAGCGATCTAAAGATGCCGGTGACCTTAAAATGCAGCACCGAGATAGCTCACTGAAGCTTAATAGGCAAGCACAGCTTGAAAAGGGAATAGCGTTCTTGTATGGTGAATGCTCCATTTTTAGAATTATCAATTTGGCACTAAGAAATAATTCCCTGCATTATGATTTATTAACAAAAAATTTATAGGAATGAACAAGCACTAAGTAGTATTACTGAATTTTTGCTGTAACAGTTTACAGCCAATCTGGCTTCTAGCTAAAACTCCACAAAACATGAAAGGATGCAATATTAGGTCACAGAGAAAACTTGCGCTGCAAAAAGGCACAGAATAATTTTGCAGAGCAGGGGACAGACTTTCCAGTCTTGCCATGCAACATATGTAATGACAACTATATTTAGGCAAAAGTGCATACTTAAGTATAAACTGGTCCTACTCATAGACCATCTTAAGATTCAAATGAACCATAGCTGAATTCTAAACAGCACAAGCTCCTGACTTGAGATCTATTGCCGAGCCATGCAAAAAGCCATGTGCTTCCCAGAGTATTCAAATGGATATAGCCTTCAAGAACAATGAAAAAAAAAAAAAAATCCCTTTTAAATTATCACTTCCTTTTTGTGTTGTCTGCTGGATAACATTTGCTTTCAATCAACTTTCTCTACCATTCATGTTCCTTCTTACACTTCAAAAATATAGTTGCCTTTGTCTAAAGCCAGACTTATGGAATAAACATATATTAGCAGTAACACAAGAGGCTTTTTTAGTAATCAGTAAGTTTCTGACATGGAGCTGCACAAAAGAATTAAGAGAAATCTCAGGTCATCTAATTTATCTTCCAACTTCCCTCCCCCCATCCCCTCTGAATATGCTCCTCATCCAAATTATATAGCTATATACAAAGTTTTATTATGGAGCAAGATGAAACACATAGGTGGTGCGTAACAAGCATAGTTTCAAGAACTAGGAAGGCTGTGACATACAAAAAATATGTAAACTACATTTTTTTCAATGACTGCTCAGAATCATTACTGAATATGTTAGAAGTTTGTTTGACAGAATTTCCATTTTGAATATACATGAAGATTATAAAATGAAACACATGACAAATATTCCTAAAAACCAAAGCCATTGCTGGTTATTTATATTTTAAAAATACGATGTCATGTAACAATAACAGATACATCCTGGTATTCTTTTAAGTGGCAGATATCAGCAGGGAAGGACTTTTTCTTTCCTCATAGTTTGCATTACAGTACTTTATTTTAATCAATTTATTTAGGTGCTTCACAAGTTCACTTTCATATATTGCTCATGTGTTTCTGAGTTATATAAACGGCAGTCATGCCTTTGTCTATCTTAGCTAGAAATCAAGCCAACTTTCATAGCATCATAAATTATCACTGCTACTGTCCACATATAAGCTTAAATATCTGTATTTTTTAATCTGGGCAACAATAAACTGAGACTAGAAATGCAGATTTTTTTACAGACAAAGATGAAAGAAATTCTGACCTTTTTTTTTTTTAATTCTCAGCATGGAGTTCTGTGCTCACCTCAGTTCTGCGCTCAGGACACCATCCCAGAGCCTGCAACGGACTTCATGGTATGTCATCCACATAGAATAGCAAGACACACAAGCCTTAGTGCTTAATGAGATTAGAGTATCAGAAAAACACTTTAATATTTGTATGTCCAAAAGGAATGCTACTTGTAGGTGCACAGTCCTCTAGGGCCATCATCAAATCTGCAGTTTCATCCCACTTCGAAGAACTTGACAAACACATCCTTTCCTCCATGGAGAAAATTCTCGGCAACCTTTTACTTATCTTTGACGTAGACTATTCAATAACAAAAGAGTGGGGTCTTACGTTGTAGTGCTGGATTGCACATCGCTATGCAGATCCATTGCTGCTACTCAAGGAGTAACCGTCCTCCCAAAAATGGAAGGACTCTGTGCCTCTCAGCTAGGTCTGGTGGCTTTTGGCAGATAATTAGTCCCTAAAGGACAAATAATATTCAAAGCAGTAGGGAGATTATCAGAGGCTGGGAAAATTTTGTCAGTGGGGTAAAAGATATCGAGGCTTCTAAACACTCAGCGTATTAGAAAGAATGAACCATGCTACATGTGCACCTTCTCAAACCACTTGTGACTCAGTTGACTACAGGAACAAGACTGCGTCCAAATTGCAGGCAGCACTGAACTCCCATTTAGTTGAAGGCCAAAAATTCAGTGATAAAAAAAAAATATTGCATCATGATTTTTTTTTGCTTTAAACCTGTTTTACAGATCTATGTTATTTACATATTTGACACTGGGCAGTACTCAACTATGGTAATATTGTTCTCGAAGAAGGAGGCACATTTTTTTGCTAAGTAATTTTAAAAAGTCTGTCCATCAACTAGCAAATTTAACAATCAGATAAGAATGCAACTTGACGAAATGACATTCTGTTTTCCAGAGATCAACTGTCTTAGATTTATTTCATCAAAGGTGTGATACAATTACGAGCCCATCCATTTCATAAAAATCTGAACTTAAAATTGTTATGCAACAAAATTTTAAATAAAGCATATACAGAAGTTTCTTGGTATTCAAGTGGACTGGTTAATCTGGAGGAGTATTATTTGCAACATATGGGCAGAAGCATTGACATTTCCATGTGATCATTTCTTTATCTCTTTTCCTCCTCCACTCCACACCTTCTGAAGATAAATCACAGTTGAATAACTCTATGGATTAAGTCCTAGACATAAGCTCCTAGTTGAATCCAGAATTTCACTTTCCATTGGCTATATATTTATAGTACATCTTTTTATACTGTTATCAAAAAAATACAATAGACTACATTTTTAAAATGTAGCCAGTGTAACTATTTTGAAAAATTTTATTTATCAGTTTGATTTGTGACAAAATTAATTTCTTTCTACTTAAATTATTTTTTATCGTTACAAGGTAATGCTTATAATTCCTGAATGTTGTTGAATATTAATGCCTCTTGTAGAAAAAACTTAGGTATTTCTAGGTAATGAAACTGCTGGAGGAATCAGAGAGAAGCTGCAACAGATTAACATGAAATAAATATTATACATAGTATTTAAAAGGCACACAAATACTTCAAACACATACAGTTTCAAATCTTTATTGTTTTAAAATTCTACATGTCTTTTACAATTACAATAATTTGTTACTTAAATGACTCTTGTATGGTTAATGTACAATGAGTTTTTTCCTGAAACTCAACCATGAAATACAATTTCATCAATATGATTTTTCTAAATAGATTAATACAAGATTTCTGTTTTGCTGGGAAGAACAAGTGCTTCACTTTGAACAAACGGCACAGGTGTCTTCCCTTCAGAATCTGTGTGATCAATCCATCGAAAGTGCTTTTGAAGATTGCAGATCTAACTGTGACTGATTTTCAAAATCAGTCTATCAAATTACAAGGTTTTTTTTAACATTAAAGAGCATTTTCATGTAATGAAACAAGTTGCAGTAGTTATTTTTATTCATCTACTGAGGCAAACTCATGTTGAAGAAAAATTATATGATTATCTGCATGCAATGAACACTCCTCTTTAAATAGTTGATGAATTTTACACATATAAAGAATCTGTTAAAGAGTGCAAGTATTTTGATAATGATTTCACAAAAGGACGTATGCTGGTAATAATGGTAACTAACATTTAACATCTAAATACAAGCTAATGTATATTTAACAGGCAATTAACATGGCTAACAAACCATGTTTCATGTGGTTGCCCTTTGAGAAAATGAACTCATTTGGTCCACACTCCTAAAGTTATCTGAGTAAAAAAACTGGAACAGTTAGGGCCAGAGTTTTTGATGAAATTCTTGTTTCTAAAATGTGACCTGTTAAAAAGTAAAAGCAGTACATCAATGACGTATCTTGTCACATGACCTCAGTATAAAAAGATGGCCTGCTATTTGGAGCGATGAATGAGCACTGAAGGACAAGTCAAAAAAGAATGGAGACAGAATGAACTAAAATTTTGTTGTGTTATACTTTCTTGTTCCATGGTACTGCTTTCACTCTGTAGAATTTTGTACCCAAAGGAACTTTAAATCTGTTTTGTGCCTAAAAAAAAAAAAAAATTACATTAGAAATGTGGGATTATTCCTCTGATTTTTGTATTTTTAAGCTGAAACTGATTCCCACCTCTCAGCATTTACAAGACCCTTTGGAGTCTGGCAAGGTTCTGGGCAGTATGGACACAACTACTGAAGCTACTGCTCACTTACTCTTTTCGCTAGTTCCCCTTCTTTTGCTATTCACTGACTAAAAACC